ATGCTGCTAGAAGATTCTACAACCATACCAGTTGATACCAATGTAAATGTTTCATTGCCAATTTTAGCTACATCCTAAATGTTCAATCCAAATTCCAAGAGTCATCCTAGATTGTTCTCTCTGTTTCCCCCATATCCAAGCATCACTTAATAGATTTTTTTTGGGGGGGGGGGGGATAAGGAGTAGCTCCCTAGTACATGTCAAGCATGTCAAACTAATGTTATCAGTGATATCTACTCTGTAAAAAATGAAATCTACCAGTACAATATTTAAGGTTGATAGAAAGGAAAGAATTATATGGCAGTTAACATCAAGTACTATTTTTCCTGTAAAACAGAAAAGAAAGAAGACCATAGGACACAAAACCCTTAACCTTCCATGCCCATGTTTCCGTGTGGTGGCCCAGGGGACCTCGGAGGGGTTGGTTCCTGCTTACTCCATCTTTGGTCCACTGTGCCTGGAGCTCAGTGGAATTATGGAGAAACTACTATAATTCCAGATCACACCAGGAATTTACTCTCAGAACACTGAGTTTCAGGGGATTTTTCCTAGGGAATAGAGAAACTAAATGGAGAATCTTCTTTCTAACAGCAAGTCTGGAGGCTTAACAGCAAAAACAACAAAACTCTCTTCCTTCAACTATATAAATGCCAAACAATATTCTAGCAAATGGTGGCATAGAAATGATTTTTAAGGACTAGTTCCAGTGCTGCTATAACTTTAATCTCTGGAGTATGAGATGGATTAGAAAGGATTCCATTGCAGTTTCATCCCTAAAAACAAAATTAAAGCTCATAGACTGAGGCAAGGCTGGACCCAGGAGCATCCGGAGGCACGGCGGTGGATGCCCGAAGGTACTTCAGCCTTCTATCAGGCACCAGCAAAGATGCTACACTAAATATACCACTATCCAAATTATGGGTTTCCTCCATGGTTCTATTATTTTGATTTATGTCTGTAAAATTGAAAAGTTAAGTCTGATTATTTTCCCCCTCTTAAATATGAAGGCATTTTGGGCCTGGTTATCTTAAAATAACTTTTCAAGAAATGCAGTTATAGTGAGCTAACAAATTACCTGAAGCTGTGTTTTTGATTGGAAGAATTCTGGGTTTAGGTTTCACTTGGAGTTTCTCTTTTTCAGTTTCCTGGTCTTCATTTTGAGACTCAGATAAGGGATTTACAACCCTGTCTTCACAATTCCCAGGCGCCATTTCCTCGTCTTTTTTATTAGAGAAGCCTGGCTCCTCTTCCATTGAGTCACTATTTGATTTCTTGGTTTTCAAAAAAGATAGTTTAGGAGAATTATTTTCTTCATCATCTGATATCTGGAAATCATTTATTGTTTTCTTAAGTGAATTTTCATCTATAGAGGTGTCAGAAAAATCACCTAAGGAAACTGAAAAACAAAAGAAAAAAAATGTCTTCAGTAGTATATCTTAAAGTTTGGAAGGTTACATTAGTCAAAAGATTGCCTTAAAGATTATAAATAAACTTAGGCAGTTTTTATTGGCATTTATAAACTACAAATTTTAATTTCATTAATTTATTCAAAACATACTTATCAAGTGTGAATAGTGGTGCCAAGCATTGTCCTTGCCCTGAGAAAAATCATCCAAAGTTTCCTCAAAATAACAGTTGGCCATGAGATATTTAGATTTTGAACTGTAAAATGTTTATATGTAAACAACTTCATTAGATTTTACTATGAGAATAATAATACAAAATGTTAACTATATGGCAATGATGAAATGAATGATTCATTTAATCATAAGCATTTTTCACTGAACCTTAAAGCATAAAACACTGAATTTCAAGTTTAAAATTCTGTATATTTACATCTAAATGTTAATATTTTAATATAATCAAAAGCAAATTAAATCATACCAGTACTGAAAACTGAGCCCCGTATTACAGCCAAAAAAAAAATCTGATTTATAAAAAGCATTATAAAAGTGATTTGGATGTGCATGAAGTTTAGTTCTATGGCCCCTAGTTATTAATTCACTGTAGAGGCTCATAGAGTTGATCTTAACGATGAACTTAGTTTACCACTGACAAGCATCCTCTTACTGCAAACCTACTGCCAGTTAATTTATATTTTCATGTTCACATTCAGAAACAACCAAGGATAATCATACAACTTCTTGAAAATTAAAAGTGACTTTTTACTAGATATAAAGTTGCAAATCTAAACCTAGTGAATCCATAAATATAATTTTAGCATAGTAATTTTTTTTTTGCGGAATGAGCTAACTATAACTAAGAAGACAAAAAGAAGAAAAGTGGTTTACTGTTCCATATTCTCACATACCAATCTCATCACTGTCAAAGTCATCTGAGTATTCAGAGCTCCTTTGTCTGGCTGAGCGAGCTGTAATTGCTTTTATTAGCTCATCCTGAAATAAAAGAATTAAAATCAATTTCCACCCAAACATGAGGTATCATATTTAGAATTAATTATTTAAACAAATAGTGCTTGCTTCATGATTGCTTTCAAACTCAGGTTTTATTCATTTAATAATATTCACTGAAAGCCAACCTATGCCAGGAACCCAAGTCCCCAGACTCAATGCAGAACATTACAGATAAGGTTCCTCTCCTCATGGAGCTTACAGTCAAATTGAAGGAGATAGACCCATGGTCGGCAAACTGGGGCTCGCGAGCCACATGCGGCTCTTTGGCCCCTTGAGTATGGCTCTTCCTAAGCCTTAGGAGTACCCTAATTAAGTTAATAACAATGTACCTACCTATATAGTTTAAGTTTAAAAAATTTGGCTCTCAAAAGAAATTTCAATCGTTGTACTGTTGATATTTGGCTCTGTTCACTAATGAGTTTGCCAACCACTGAGATAGACTATCAAATAAGATAATTGAGACTCAGGCAGGATTTATTTTAAACTGGCATCTTGGATGAAACTGGTACTTTTAAAGATCGTTTGTTTCTGGAGATTGCAGTAATGGATGTAATCAACACTGCAAATTTAGAGGCTGAGTTCAAAACTGTGGTGACTGGACAGAGAAAACTTCAATGTTGTTATGTTACAATAGGGAAAAACCATAAAACATTTATATGAAAATACTAATTTAAAGTTGCTATTCAACTTTGAAAAGCTAACTTAACTTTTAAGTTAGTAAGAACCTATCATTCAGGCTAGTTTGGTAATCTTAAACACACAGAATGGTTTGGAATACCACAGCCCAAACACAACCATCTGCAACATTTTAAAAGGAATGTAAGTCTTACTCCAGCTTTATATAGGATTCTTCCAAAAATTAGTTCAAATCAAATGTTCCTAACACAGTGTTTACTTATAAAAGCATTTCAAATAGTTTACCTGGAAAGTAGTTCTTTTGGTGACTTTTGGACTCTTTGTATATGCCAAAGTTGTGCTAAAAACTTCACCAGACATAGTGTACGGAATCTCTTTTTTTACTCATTACCTTTATAAAATGTTTAATAAATAACTAATAATTCAACCTCTAATGGTGGCTGAAATATCAAAAACAAATAAACAACCAAATTAGACATTTTTGCATGTTTGAGAGTTTCTAATATTACACTTAGTGCCCCCGAAAGCCAAACAAAAACAAGAAAAGCACCATGTAAACATTGAGGTACAGCTACACTTAACGTAGAGTTCTTGTAAAGATGAATCAAATTTTCATAACAAGTTTGTAAAAAATATTCAAATTGAAGTTATCTTAAAATAATTTTGCCACAATATTTTTAAAGACAAACCAATAAATGAATGCAGTCCTATATAATAAAAGGCTAATATGCAAATTGACCAAACAGTGGAACAACCGGTCTATGATGCACACTGACCACCAGGGGGCAGACGCTCAACGCAGGAGCTGCCCCCCTGGTGGTCAGTGCGCTCCCACAGGGGGAGCACCCCTGAGCCATGGATGGCGAGGGCAGTGGTGGTGGGGGGAGCCTCTTCCGCATCTGGGGCAGCGCTAGGGATGTCCAACACTGCCAGCTTAGGCCCGCTCCCCAAGCCTAAGCCGTCAGTCGGACATCCCCCTAGGGCTCCCAGACTGTGAGAGGGCACAGGCCAGGCTGAGGGGCAACCCCCCTAACCGCCCCCCCTCCGCCCCCCAGCACAGGAATTGGGCCTCTGGTAGATTAATAGGATAAAATGTTGCCAACTAAACTACAAATTTTATTTCTCACCTCTCTTGCATTCAAAAATTATTACATTGCCAAGAAAACAGTCATACTTACTTAAAAGGCTACCGAGAGGATCACCTGCATTAGAAAAGATAACTGAGTAACACCACCGAAAGGAGAAAAAAAAAAAAAAGCTTGCACAGTGCTAGGGAGAGAGAAAGGTCATAATGCCAGCCTGCAAATAGAGACATTTTCCTCGAGCCACTGTTCCCTCTTACAAAGTGTTAATACGGTTAGAAAAAAGGGAGCCCCGCGGTGGGCTGCATTCAAGTGCTTGTACAAATGGGCCCGTGAGCGTTTCTCACACTCGGAGCGGAGGCCGTATTTTCTTCATCATCTGATATCTGGAAATCATTTATTGTTTTCTTAAGTGAATTTTCATCTATAGAGGTGTCAGAAAAATCACCTAAGGAAACAATCTCATCACTGTCAAAGTCATCTGAGTATTCAGAGCTCCTTTGTCTGGCTGAGCGAGCTGTAATTGCTTTTATTAGCTCATCTTAAAAGGCTACGGAGAGGATCACTCCTGCCGAGGGCTCTCCGCGACCCCGAGGACCAAGCGACTGGACTCGGGGAGGAGCCTCTCCCCCAGGCCTGGGCCCGGCGTCTCCGAGACGGGGAACTGGAATGAGCGAGGGGGCGGGGCTAAAAACGGAGGTGGTTGGCGGTTGCTAGGAAACAGCGTCTCCGGAAGGAAGTGACTTCCCTACTGCCAGGTCTTTCGGGTACCAGACACCTCCTAAGGGCCCCACGCGTCGCTGGGGCAACCGCCCAGACGGAGGAAATGACGTCAGCCCTCTGGGTCCCGGGAGAGGGATGCGCCTCGGCCGCCTGGGCTTCCGTTGTTGCCTAGGAGACAGGACCCGTCCCGCTCCCACTCGGGCGCCCAGAGCCTTGAGCCAGTGGAACGGGGGCCTCCATCCGCACCTGCTGCGTGAGCCAAAGCGTATTCTTCGTTTTGCCACAACTAGGACATGAAGCCTGTGACTCAGCTGACAGAATAGTGTATGGACGAATGGGACAGAATAGCGCGACGGTGACGTTTGCAGACTCCGGAGTCTCACTGCAGGTTTGAATCTTGGCGCCCCTTCCCTAGGCCCCTGTGAGGTCGTAAAAGTTAACATGTCTATGCCCCAGTTTCCTCGTCTGAAAAGAAAAAAGGGGGAGATAATAAGATTGGCCACCTTAACCCTTTGCTGGGCGTATAAATGAAATAATACAGGTGGAATACTTGCAAGAGTGCCTGGGATTGAATTCAGTCAATATCAGATACACTCTTTATGCAACTCAGCCACAAAGCACCTAGACAGAAGTCATCCCTTGTCCACACTGCTGAAAACTCATTCCAAGTGTTGTTAGTTTTTATTTGTGGGATCAGGAGAAGACTCATAGAAGGGAAGTATCAGTATCTTGAGGAAAGACAACTATGACCAACTACACTGTTTAAATGTGTTCATCAGCATCTTATGAGTGATGGAAGCTGGCTATTGTTAGTCAAATATACCAGTATGTATTCTTTTATATTGTCATGTAGAGACACATAAATTACTATATAGCAAGAGAAATATGATTTCTCATTCAAACTCAGAACTTGTCATTCTAAACAAATTATTTTTGTTACCAGGGTAGTGTCTTTAGTTAAATGCTCTCTACAGATATTGTTCTAGACAAAGATGAATGATCTGAACAGATACTATCTCTACTCCCTGTATATTGCTGTCTTGTGCCTAGTATAATTCTGCATATTTACTCATATCATTTGATTCAGTCTTTCCTAAACTCTGTAAAATTTCTGCTTTTTATATCTACACTAGTGACCCAGTGCATGGATTCATGCACATTGAAAGGAAATTAATTAGAAGGTGGCCAATGGGGTGGAAATGGGGGGGACGAGCCCGACATGCCCTGGAGCCAACCTCCCATGGCCCCTCCCCAGCCAGCACACCTGGGGTGGTGCCACGGCTTGAAAGGCGTCTGTGGAGTGAGCGGGGTCCCTCTGGCAGGTGGAGTCCCTCGGCCTGGCCTGCTGGGATGGGGCTGAAACCAGCTCTCTGACATCCCCTGAGGGGTCCTGGAGTGTGAGAGGGCACTCTGCAAAGTTGCTGTTGTACAGGGTGTAGAATGCAAACACAAATGTGCAGTAAACCAGATTCAAGGCCAACAGTGCCCCAGCAACAACAAAACCCACAAAGGTGGAATTGCACGGCCCCATGAGGAATTGGGGTTCCTCCTCTCTGCTTTCAGGGTGGGTCACCCGAGAACCTCCACTGCCAAGTCACTGCAGATTGGCAGCTCCAGCATTGAGCGTCTTCCCCCTGGTGGTCACTGCTCGTCATAGCGACCAGTGGGACGGTCAAAGGGACACTTAGCATATTAGCCTTTTTATGTATATAGATTTTACATTTTAAAAAAAGGAGATATGATAAAATCTTGAGATTCAGGTAAGTTTGAAAATATATTATCTTCACCTGTGAAATGTCCCAGACAAGACTCATTTGTTACATAGACTCTTATATTATTGTGGTTTTAAGAAATCTTTGTTTTTAATCATGTTTTGTATATACAAAAACCACATTGTTCTTACTTAAGGAGTTGATCTAGTATTTTATTTCTTCCCTGATCAGTAGCACACGCTGCAAAAGGTATTTTTATGTGTCATTTATCCCATGTTAATCTCCCCCTTTCATTCATCTGTTTAAGATTGCTTGGCCCAGGGGTGGGCAAACTTTTTGACTCGAGGGCCACAATGGGTTCTTAAACTGGACCGGAGGGCCGGAACAAAAGCATGGATGGAGTGTTTGTGTGAACTAATATAAATTCAAAGTAAACATCATTACATAAAAGGGTACGGTCTTTTTTTTTTTTAGTTTTATTCATTTCAAACGGGCCGGATCCGGCCTGCGGGCCGTAGTTTGCCCACGGCTGGCTTGGCCCCTTCCTGCTTTGTGCTCCTTCCTTTTAAGACAAATCTGGTTTCGAGATAGAAAAGAAAAATCACTAATTTACATGTTTTGGCACAAAAACTTTATGAGTTTTTGTGGAATTAATATCTAATATTGAAGAAAGCCCAGGCATCACTTAGTAGGAAATTTCCTTGTAAAAGGTCATTTATTTCAGGATTTTCAAGGGAAGAAGGGCCAGAATCCAATGGTAGTTGACGAGAATAAAACAAAATTTCAACACTGTTCACAAAAACTAATTTTTATTTTGTGTTGCACTCATGTTCGAATTCCATCATCATCATTATTATTATTATCATTATCATCATCCTTTGGAAAGTCTTTTTTTCCCAAAGGGAAGGAAATCTCGCAATATGCATTAGTAACCACATTCCAGCAGATGGCAGCAAAAGACTTAGCACCTTTGGGACTATATGGCAGGAACATACTCATTAATATTTTTGGGATATTTTACTTTGCTTAGACTCAGTGGTTCTCAACCTTCCTAATGCCGCGACCCTTTAATACAGTTCCTCATGTTGTGGTGACCCCCAACCATAAAATTATTTGCGTTGCTACTTCATAACTGTAATTTTGCTACTGTTATGAATCGTAATGTAAATATCTGATATGCAGGATGTATTTAGGCGACCCCTGTGAAAGGGTCGTTCGACCCCCCAAAGGGGTTGCGACCCACAGGTTGAAATTCGCTGACTTACAGTGATTTAAAAATACATTTTAAAATAAACTACTTTAGAAACAATTTCATAGAACTTTTAAAATCATCAGCTTTATCTTTATATTATAAAGTTAGAAAATTAGTAGTTTAATGTAACAATAAATATTTTTTATAAATATTTTTGACAGACTGTATAAGCTGCTTACCTTTGAGTCCATTCCCTGCTCCCAAACTCAGCCATGATCATTGTTAATAGTTAGGATTCTTTTCCATATTATCTTTCCTAAGCATATAAAAATGTTCACGTTACATGTGTTCTTCTATAACCAGTTTTTTTTCACTTGAATATCCTTTTCATGTTAACCAACAGCTGAATTATGCATAATTCTTTGGTTATATGATTATGTATATTTAAAAAAAACAATACTCATGTCCCTTTAACTTGTTTCAATTTTTATGAGAAGGTTTGAATAAACATTGTGGCATACTTATTTATTTTGGATAAAATCCTAGGGGTGGAATCATTGAGTATATACACATGAACTCTCTTTATACTTATTGTCAAAATGCCTTCCAGAAAAGCTTTTACAGCACACACTCCAATGTACATCATAAAAAAAGTGTTCACCTAAATGTATGCATTATTCAGCCACTCTTATTGAACCTTTATAAGTTGCAATTTTGTTTGTTAATTTTTTTCTTACTTTTTCCTGTGCAAGTCTATTTATTGTCTCCTTTAAATATAATTTCATATATTGGTACAAATAAAAAATGAAATGTCAAATAAAAATATAAACAAAATTTTTTTTAGTTTTTAATAGGTAATATTGAGGGTTAATGGAAGGATGAATTATTTAAATATAACTGGAAGATGTTCTGTGGGTAAAAATAAAACTTTTCAAGTTTTCTTAATTATATAGCTATCATTTCTAGCATTAGGAAGAAACTATTCAATATAGTTTTCTTAAGGAAATCCATTAGGTCACAGGAACTAAAACTAACATAAATTGAAGCTCTTTGTGTTTAAAATGGGCTATGATTAATGCTAAGGCATTACTAAATTTTTTTATGTAACTTTAAAGGTACTATATTTGTCCAATCATGGGTTTAAATTTTGGTATTTTATGTATATGTATTATCAAAGTTAAGTAAACTTTGATAAAAACTTGGTTATGCAAGTTTCTTAACCTTAAAATAAACTTTTGTAAATCCTGAGTAAATATCTAAGTTGAATCTATTATATCTTGGCCTGGATTCAAACGTCAACTTTTTGTTTTCTAACAGCGTGTTCATGCAACCCATAGCCGACTGATTGTTTTTCTGTTAGGAAGAACGAGTAACGAATATACTCTGTAAAATCTGATACAAACTTTTTCCTGCATTATATATTACAATGTCTCTCTTCCTTCTATAACTAAAGCCCACAAATATTTTTGCTTATTTATTTTTATTTTTTAAACAAATTTTCGCCTTAAAAAGCCAATATTACATGTGTTAGATAAAGACATTTTTCCCTATTAACTGTAAGTGAATCTGGTTTCTGTTTTTGTTATTTGCTGTAAGTTTTGGAGTCGTGTGTGTCTGGGTTTGGTAGGTATTAGATAAAAATCAGTGATGCATATTAAGTTATAGATAGTATAGATTTTGTATTTTTTAAAATATACTTTTATTAATTTCAGAGAGAATGGGAGAGAGATAGGGACATCAATGACGAGAGAGAATCATTGATCGGTTGCCTCCTGTGTGCCCCACACTGGGGATCGAGACTGCAACCTGGGCATGTACCCTGCCCAGGAATCAAACCATGACCTCCTGGTTCATAGGTGGATACTCAACCACTGAGCAGCCACACAGATGAGGCTATTTCTTATAGTTTAAAAAAGAATTGCCATTCTAGTTATTCTTTACTGAACACTATATTTTGATTTTGTCCTTCAAAATCTTTGTGTACAAAGATTGATAGAATGACCTAGATATGAGTTAACCTGTGCAAAGGAGCAATCCCTTTTAAGGTCTGAACACTGCTAACACAGTCTCAGCTTAGGTTATCATCTTCCTAGGAGATGGGTTGTTCCACTCTTGGTTCATTAACCAAATGCGGTGACTTTTCTATGTGATTCAAAAGATTCTTTGAACCTAACTGTAGAATTTGACATTTTAATGTGTTAAATAGCATTGTCTGGTTGAGGGCATCTTTTTCAATCTTTCAATCTACAGAAAACTTTTTCAGTTCTATGTAATCATCCAGACTACTATTTTTTACTTTTATATTATCCTGAAATTTAACAAGTACATATGTGCATGTGGCATGTGTTCATACAAGTTGTTTCTAGAAAGTACCATTAGGATTTTTAATTTATGCATAATCATGGTTGCCTTTCTAACCAGGTGTAATGAAAGGTGATTTTGCTATTTTCCTGAGGTGGTGAATATAGACTGCTCTTTTAGAAT